TCCATTCAATATGGTGTAAGAAGTTATTTAAAAACATTTTCAACAGATCATAAGTAAACAGTTTAGAAGACAAAAAATATGTGGCAATATATTTAAATTGTTTTTGGCATGCACCACCTGACTATATATAACTAATAAGGGGAAACAAGAAGTAGAAGACACTAGAAGAATGTAAAAAACTATTAGACGAGAAAATTGACTTGGTTTCAAAATTAATTAAAGACCAACTACTTATGTTTGAAAAGTTCACAACTTGGCATGTTATAATTAAATATACTTTACAGTTTAGTTAAGGTGTGAATATCATTTTTGACATTGCACCAACAAAATACTGAAATAGCAGCCAAATAATACAAATTCAAATAAAAACTTCAGGTGCAGTATCACTAATGCATAAATAAATCGGGCAACTTTTCAAATTTATCACAATCTTCTTAAAAGTTCTAAGTTAGAAATTTGATAAACCAGTTATTCTAGAGGATGGTCTAATATAGACACTCAAATGAAGTTTGAAAAGTAGATAAATGCTAATCTCCATTTCAATTCAAATATATTTTTCAAATTCTTGTCATGGATTAAGTAAAAGATAAAAAAGTTCATATTTTTCTATATATTATGTACTTTTATTTCCGATACATTTTTTAATTCACAAGATTAACTTTGAATAGTTGTATAGATATTTGTGCAATAATTTACTCATATAATTTTCGAGGTGTATGAAATATTCTGATTTGTTTTTAAACCTAAAAGTGATTTAGATTGACAATCAAAAAACGAGAGAGAGATGTTTTTATACTATTCTGCATTTTTTTTTATTCATAGTTAAACATTAAATTTAAGCTTTTAACATGTTGCTAAAGACGAACACTAATTTAAACTTGAATTTGCGTATAAATCGATTTTAAATAGACTATTTTACTTAATAAATGTAAGAACATTTAACAGAACTCCAATGGAATAATAATCGACTTTTAGTTTTTCTAAGGGCGTTTTGATGAAGTTCATATAAAAGCTTTTAAGAAAATCACTAAACTCAACCGAATTCAATTGCTTCTCCTTTTAAAAATTTCATTTTTTGGAAAAGAATTTGCATTAGACTTCAATTGTAGAAGTTTCACTGGAAAATTTTTAAATGCATAGTTTTTTTTTTTTTTTCAATAAAAGAAAAAAAAGGGGGAAAATTTTGAAAGGTGTGTGAGCCTGTTAGGATAGTTATAGTTGACTCTTGGGCCAGCGGCCATTTCCTTCTCCTTGCCCAAAATCTACCGTCTCTACTCTCTAGTCTCTACTATCATTATAGTAAAAACCCTATTCAATTCACCATTTATAAATTTGATTGATTTGATGAGTTTTCTTCATTTTTATTAGCAGATATCAAACCCACTAGAAAAAGTTCCATTCTTTATTGTTTTGTTTAGAATAAACTCAAATTACTGGCAGCCACTCTCACAGTAGAGGGACCAGTTTCTGGTGGCAACCCACCATTTTGTTCTGTAATCTGTTTTTTTAAGGGTTCCCCATTTCCAAAGATTTTGTACTGGTGAATTGTTCAGTGAATAATTTGCATTCGTCGAGTAGCTGTGCTGAGCATTTTCCAGCTGATTGATTTGTCGATCAGTTTTGGGTGGTTATTTGTGGATGGGATCGAAGCCATGGCTTTATCCGGCCCCGGCCTATCGAACTCTGGAGAGCTATTGGGACAGTGAAGACGACGCGCCGGGGCCGCGTTGTGGTCACACGCTCACTGCCATCGCCGCCACTAAAACCCATGGGCCCCGTCTCATTATGTTCGGAGGCGCCACCGCCATCGAGGGAGGCAATGGTGGAGCTCCCGGCATTCGTAAGCCTTCTCCCTTATCCGTCTGTTTAATTGATGTATTTGTTTCAGTTTTTACTTTGTTCAATCCCTTTGCTGCACCTTTTTATTGTTCATTTCCTTTTGTAGGGCTAGCTGGAGTGACAAATTCTATCCATTCGTATGATGTTCTCACCAGAAAATGGACAAGGTTAACTTTGTATTTTTTATTTTTTTTTCTGCTTTTGTGATTTGAGTTGAAGTTTGCCAGTTTCCGTGTTATTTTGCTGTTTTAGTTTCAAGCCAGTTACATTTTGCTGTTGAGTAACTGTGTGTTACTTGGTAATTTTATCAGACTTCGACCAGCGGGTGAGCCGCCATCACCTCGGGCTGCGCATGCTGCAGCAGCTGTTGGAACCATGGTTGTTTTTCAGGTAATTAAAGAAACAGCTGCAATTTTCATGAACTTCTTGAATCAGAAATGAAGATTTGAGGAAATTAAATTGGATTGCATCATATATTTGGCAGGGAGGGATAGGTCCTGCAGGGCATTCAACAGATGATTTATACGTGCTTGACATGACAAATGACAAGTTCAAGTGGCACCGGTTAGCCTTTTTGTTGTGTTATTGTGTAGTAGAATCAGTTTTCTTGATTTTTGACTTGGTTAACTCTTTCTTTGAATCAGTCCATTTTGGGTATTGTAGTAGAATTAGTTTTATTGATTTATGACTTATTTGACCCTTTCTTTGGATCAGAGTTGTTGTTCAAGGACAGGGTCCAGGGCCTAGATATGGCCACGTCATGGACTTAGTTGCGCAACGGTATCTTGTTACTGTTAGTGGCAATGATGGTGAGTGCAAGCATTCACTGTGAATCAAATTAATTCTATAATATTTTGTAAATGAGGTGAATGAGATTGGCAGAATTAATTAGGTGGTTTTATTAATTGCCGTGTATCTAGTCTTCACTATACTGTTCCCAATTCATGCAACTAAGGGACCTGGAAGGAAATCACAATTGAATGCCTTGTATTTGATTGTGTAGATGGATTTAATCTCGTCGGCCTTCTGATATTGAATTATGCCCACATTAAGGTCAAATGTCTGTTGTAGTTAGCGTACTCTTATTTTGTTTATGTGGAAAGGTATCGCTTGTGTTTGTCCTATAATTCATGGCCGATTTTCTATTAATTAAATTCTGGATCCCTCATAATTGCAGCCTGCACGAGATTGCACTTCCACTGCAATCTTGAGTCATAAAAGACCTGCATTTTAGGTATTTTGGTTGATAATTGAATATTTCAAGTGTTATTAATGGTGGATGGCAAAAGATGACGGCAAGCTGAAATCCTGCCATGGTGGCCTGTGGCGCCTCCATTACTGTCATCCCTTGCAATTTTCTGATGGCGGTTAGTTAGAATTCCGCCACGCCATACCACCATAAACACTGGATATTTCTTCACAAGGGAAAGTATGTGGATGGGTGAATTAGACTTGGAGTAGTTTTTCCAACTTAATCGGTTCTAGATGTTGTTGATGATACTTACATAACTTCAGTGTTTGTTTCTTGTTATGCTGGCTTGAGTCAGTTTTGTTTTCCACCTTTTATGCTGGATGTATTGTACTGTTCTCATTGAACCATCTTTCACCATCTTTTGTATTCATTGGATCTGATGCTTATTAGTTAATCTAGTATAAGAGAACCATTTTTCCTTCTCAAGGTAAAAGAGTGCTATCAGATGCTTGGGTTTTGGATACTGCACAGAAACCGTATGTCTGGCAGAGGCTTAATCCGGAAGGTGATAGACCTTCTGCTAGAATGTAAGTGTGTGTTCTTTGTTAATTTGTGTTTTGCTATTCACTTTGAGTTTCTTTTGATGATGTCTCAATGCGGATTAAAAACAAGTTTATGAACCCCTAGTGCATAATTTTCATATGTGATCAGTTTTCACTATTAGTTGATGTGGAAATATTATTAGGATGGCAAGATTATAGTGCCCGCTATATTTGTTACTCTTTTTTTTTTTTTATGAGTTCATGGGGTTTTTAAAAGATAATAAGAAACAATGGTTCCTTGGTACTTGCAGTGGCCCATGGACTTCTTTTGATTTATGTTTGACTTTTATCCTTTGGATTATCAATGATTGGAAGTAAATTAAAGCACAGCATGTTCTGTTCGTAAATCATATATTAAATAATTTTTGTAGGTATGCGACGGCTAGTGCTCGTTCAGATGGCATGTTTTTGCTTTGTGGTGGAAGAGATGCCTCAGGCACGGTATGACTTCTTTTCATATGGAACGATAAGCTATTTATTATTATCATCAGCATACAGATACAGGATATTAAGCTATAAGACCTAAGAAAAGTGGAAAAAGAAACTTGCGTCCTTGTAATTTAGACATTGCTTGATGGTGATGCATTTAACATTTCCTGTTTAAACTTCCTTTAGACATAAGAGTGAAATACCATCACTCAGAAAATGAAGTCTATTATATTAAGCTATGAATGTCTTAGGATGTCTTCAAAGCAGGGCATACAATATGGCACACTGATCTGCTGCTGAATGGTTGCTTGTTCTATTCTAGAAAGTGTTGGCTGTGTTTAACTGAACAATTTGTTGTATTTGGCCCTCTACAGCCATTAGCAGATGCTTATGGACTACTTATGCATCGGAATGGACAATGGGAATGGACTCTTGCACCAGGAGTGTCACCTTCGCCAAGGTATCAGCATGCCGCGGTAAGTAGTATCTCAATAGAACTTTTTTTCGAAATTCTTAATTATCTAAAGTTTAATTGTTCGAGCTGCTGCTCTCTCAAATTCACATGATATGTTGAAATAATAGACCACAGCGTTTTTTCTGATTATGAGAAGCTCGATGTTTTCTTGATCTGATTAGCAATGGTTGTGCCACTGAGGTCTGAATTTTGAATGTAATGCACAGACATGTTTTGAGCTGTGTGATTTAACCTTTGGACGTCATAAGCTGCAAATAGATCTTTACTCTATAAGGTTTTGTATTGAATGATCAGGAGTGCTCGTTTTTTACCAGGTTTTTGTCGGTGCTAGATTGCATGTAACTGGCGGTGCTCTTAGAGGTGGACGAGCAGTAGAAGCTGATGCGGCAGTTGCAGGTAACTATTTCGAGTTGTTTTTTATTGAGTGGAATATTTTTGGACTTTATCAAATGAATAGTATCCTTAATTCTCTAATTCTTTTTCTCTTTAAAGTGCTGGATACTGCAGCTGGAGTTTGGCTCGATAGAAATGGTCTGGTGACTTCACGAGTAAATAAAGGACATAGTGACTCAGATCCCTCTTTGGAGTCTATGCGTCGATGTCGCCATGCAGCCGCTTCTGTTGGTGTTCGAATATATATCTATGGTGGATTAAGAGGAGGTGAGGTTTGCTTGGCTATCACAGAAAAGCAGTGTCTTATTCTTTAGCAAAGTGCATTTCGTGCTTTTGGAGGTCGTAATATTCATGAAACTTCTTATGTGGGTGAATTAGTAGTGATCTGTTAGTGTGGTTGAACTGCTTGTAAGTGAACACAACTGCAGCCATGAAAACCATGAAAAATTCTTTAATTCCTCCAGCATTTTTGTCCCCGAGTAGACATTCAAATGGTTCTAAATCCCAAAAAGTGCATCTAAAACTAGAAAATTATCATGGCAATTATTGAGATGCAAAATTCGAGCAGCAATTTGCTGGCATTCTGAAGTGAGTGCTTATGCTAGAAAAGCTACTGAATAACCGAATCTAACTCATATATTATCGAAAAATGATCTTCATTAAATACTACTGGTTGCAATTATTCTCTTAAATTGCTTTTGTGAATGCACTCTTGTTGTTTACTTAGAGTGAAAGTTGAATGTATTTGCGAACAGCTTTCCTATGTGTTGCCATATTTCTTTCACACTTTCTGTATTTTTCAACTGCCATAAGATATCTGGTTTTGTTTTGCAGATACGTTGTTAGACGATTTTCTGGTTGCAGAAAACTCTCAATTTCAATCTGATAACAGTTCCCCTGTATCGCCATCAGAGAAATTGTTCGCCTCTGCTAGTCCAAGATCAAACACTTCTGCTAATTTAAGTCCATTTTCGCCGATATCAACCCCAGACAATAGATCTGAAACACCATCTGGTTTTCTGGGGTCTGTTCATAGTCTCATTACTCCTTTGCATCTATATGGTGTTTCTTAAGTAATCATTTACTTAAATAATAATTCTTTGTTCATGCAGTATGGACAGGAGCTCTATGGAAAAACTGGCTGAGGCGTCTGCTGCTGAGGCCGAGGTTGCTAATGCCGTCTGGCAATCAGCCCAGGCTGCTTCAGCCACTGCTGAGGAAACTTCTTTGTCAGATGCCAACTCGCAATCTGCCGAGAACACGATGTCCGACTGTAGTGATTCAGACTCTGATGTTCGGCTTCATTCTAGAGCGGTAAATTTCTCTGGAAAGTAAAAAAAAAAAAAAAGTGCTTGTAGGTAACTAGGTTTTTGTTTATACTGCAGCTTTTTGCAAGCTTATGTTTTTATTTCCTTTCTCTTTTGCCTTCTCTGTATGTGCAGGTAGTTGTTGCAAAAGAAGCTGTCGGGAACCTGGGAGGGATGGTTAGACAGTTGTCCTTGGATCAATTCGAAAATGAGAGTAGAAGGATGATTCCATCACATAATGACTTGTCAAATCCTACTAAAAAGTTTGCTAGGCAAAGATCACCTCAAGGCTTGCATAAAAAGGCAAGTGTTGTTACCAAAGTGTGTATGTGTGTAAAATAAAACTAGGAAGTTCATTTTTATTATTTTTTAATTTCTAATTTGTTATTATTGTTGTTTTCAATGATTGTAAGGCGTCATCTAGTGCTCGTTTGGACATGTGATTATTGTTTGTCTTGCAGGTCATATCAACCTTGCTGAGGCCTAGAAACTGGAGACCTCCTGCCAACAGAAAGTTCTTTCTCGACTCTTATGAGGTTGGTGAGCTTTGCTATGCTGCTGAGCAGATTTTCATGCATGAGCCGACCGTTCTTCAGCTGAAAGCTCCTGTTAAGGTTTTCGGAGATCTTCATGGACAGTTTGGTGACCTCATGCGATTGTTTGACGAATATGGGTTTCCTTCAACTGCTGGTGACATAACGTGAGTTTTTATGCTGTGTGGAATCTTCTTTTTCTATGTTGTTATTTTTAGTGTTGTAGGAGAATATATGTTATGGAAAAAAGGAAAATTATTTTTATTATTGGAGAATATGTTCAGACCAAAAATGTAATTTGGTAATTTAGTATATATTGTTGTTTTATTTTCCCCAGTCTACCGCCTTTTCAGAACAATGCTTTTTTTGTTGTATTTCAGTTACATTGACTACTTGTTTCTGGGAGACTATGTTGATCGTGGACAGCACAGCTTGGAGACCATAACTTTGCTCCTTGCTCTTAAGGCAAGTTCTCATGTTGGTTAGTGGGACCCACACACACACACACATATTTCCTAATCATTCTTACAGTTACTCTTTGTGGATGTAGATCGAGTATCCAGAAAATGTCCACCTGATACGTGGAAATCATGAAGCTGCTGACATCAATGCACTTTTTGGATTTCGTATAGAATGTATCGAAAGAATGGTATACTCTCAGTGCTATTTCCTTTTTATGATATACAAATGAAATGTGTTTAAGGAAATAACAAATAGAAATTAATATATGTGATCTTATTTTATTTTATCTTTTCTTTTCTTGTGTTTGAACTTTTTGAACACACCTTTTACTCTTTCCAGTGCTGATGAAGATACTACTAATGCAGGGAGAAAATGATGGGATCTGGGCTTGGACACGTTTCAATCAGTTGTTTAATTATCTCCCACTTGCAGCACTGATAGAGAAGAAGATCATCTGCATGCACGGTGGAATTGGGAGGTCTATCAATTCAGTAGAACAGATAGAAAAACTGGAGAGGCCCATAACAATGGATGCTGGATCAATTGTGCTAATGGATTTGTTATGGTATTATATATACTAGCAGCTTTCGTGCTCTTGGTTTTTCTCTTATGCTATTCCTTACCTTTCCTGTTTCCACTCAGGTCTGATCCCACTGAAAATGATAGCATAGAGGGTTTGAGGCCAAATGCAAGAGGACCTGGTCTTGTGACTTTTGGGGTATATTTTTTTGTTTTGAATATTTGAATTTATGCCCATTTTGAACCATTTCCTTAAGCCGATTGAAATGATCGGCCATAAACTGTACTACTGTAGTATGTTAGTATTAGGTATCAATTGGATGCAAAAGGTTGTCATCTTCATTCCAGTAGAGATAAGTTCAGGCGTAAATGTGATTGCGTACTGGGATTTTAAAACACACACACTGTCCACTCATCATTTTTTTTTTCTCTGTTCAAACACATCTATAATACTTCTCTATGAAGAATAGATGTTGCACATTCTCACATTTGACTAGTTATCTGATCATTATTTATGCTTATATATTGCATCAACTTCCGTTGCTACACTTTCATCTTATAAAAAAAAAAAAATCATCATATTCTCCAGTGAGAACACAGAATTCCAAACCAGAATGTAACCATTCGGACCCTTAGGCTGTGATTGGCTGCAAAACACCAACTATTCACCAACAATCATTTGCAATCATTATTTTACTATCTTTATTTCACATTTTTCAATCTCGAAAGAGATTCATTATTTCTCTAACTTCTTTTTCCCCACTTTTTTTCATAGTGTTCACTGATCAGGAAAAGTGGCCTTAGCCTTTCTATCGATCTTACTGCAGTTGATATTTAAATACTTTCACTCCACGAATGTACTGTGTAAATAGAAAGTCTTAAAATATGTTATTGGTTGACTGCAGCCTGATAGAGTCACGGACTTCTGTAAGAGGAACAAGTTGCAACTCATCATAAGAGCTCATGAGTGTGTCATGGATGGATTCGAACGGTTTGCCCAGGGCCAGTTGATCACCCTTTTCTCCGCAACCAACTATTGTGGTATGCACACAAAAATCATTAGTCGTTACTTCTTTGTTTTTTTTTTTTTTTTTTTTTTTTTTCTAGAGAAAATTAAACTGATTAAGTTCAATGCAAATTCATTAAGGTACGGCGAACAATGCTGGAGCAATATTGGTTGTGGGCAGAGGATTGGTCATTGTGCCTAAGTTGATTCATCCCCTTCCACCTCCTCTTCAGTCCCCCGAGACTTCCCCAGAACGTGTGAATGAGGAGACCTGGATGCAGGTACATTATGCATTTCTTGAAGTACCCTTGATAATTACTCAAACGGAGAATTTAGTGTTTTTTTTTCCTATAAAAACTCTATTTGTTTATATTACGAATTTTCCAGTTTCTTGTTGTGTTTAGTCACATATTTTGGAGGGGGTTCATTAAATTTTATTTTCGGGGTTTTTGTCTGATTACGATAAACTTCAAACTGGATGGTCCGTGATATTTGACCATTGCTTTTAATTTACAAATTGCATCCTCAAGAGTGGGTATTATTGTTAGGAAATATACGTCTTAGGTTTTTTTTTTTTTGGAAATGAATTTTGAGGGATTTGTTGTGATTGATTGGTTTTCTCAATCTTTGTGCTCACGCACAAGGGCATGTTTCTTTATTAGGTGAAGTTATATCCTATAATATAACTGAAGTACATATTTTTTTTCAATCAAAGCCAACTCACAGGGGCAGTTTATAATTCCCTTAAGAAGAAGAAGATTGATTCTTGTGCCCCTATGTATTCCTCTTATTGATGGTTGAATTTTTTGTATATCCTTTAAAGGAACTTAACATTCAAAGACCTCCAACTCCAACAAGGGGCCGCCCACAACCCGAGCTCGACCGAAATTCACTTGCCTATATATGATTCGCTCCCTGAATGGACAAACAACCGTTAACAAATGACGTCTTCATCGAACACGAGTTCAATTGGCAAAGCAGCATGAAATCCATCACAAGGGTCTCGTTGCAATTGGCATAGAGTGCAAGATAATGTATCTTTTCTTCTTGAAGGTTTGCTGCTCTTCAATTTGTACTACACAGGCAAGGATATTTCGCACAGAGGTGTAATAATTTACTGGTGTACAGAAGATACTTGTATGAATGAACCTTTTTATCTTATTATTTTTTCTTGTCGAATTGTGAAAGAGTTACAGAATAAATTTATAATTTATGTAAAGTATCATATAGTGATTGATTAGTCATTTGGGTAGAGGCAGTGTGGTGACTGATGATAAGTAGGATATTTTTGTTTAAAGAAATTTGTATGACTAGAACTGTATTTGCAATTGCATCTTTTTAAGTGGTGTATATGATAGAATGATGAGGCTTATGTTTTAGATTTGAAGAAGACGGGAAATCCTGAGTAGTTTTGTCGCTGTTCTTGCTGCTGCCAATTTTGTTGTCCTAATAAAATTGGGTTCGGATTATACACTATATTTCTAATTTAAACATAATCATTGTTTGTTTACTGTTTGCTCATATATATATTTCAATATATTATTAGTCAAAGGTCTGGAGAACCTGACTTGTAATCAAATTCAAGAACCTGAACAGGTTTGAAGGGGAAAAAGAGAGAGAGGAAGAGAGAGAAAAAGGAAAACATTGCTTCAAACTGTACTGAATTTAAATAGAATTTCATAACAAAAATAAATAAATATCCACATATAGATAATCTTATCTAGAAATAGAAGTAATGCAGGCTTAACCCCACAAAAATATGACATTAATTAAACTAACTATTGAGTAATTTAATTGGTAGAGTTGTGATTAGCCACTATTGGACTCCTCACATAATGCCTCCCATCAGACCACAAAAGCTCACCAAAGCTATACCCTCTCTTCACACCTTCCTTAGCCTTTACAGTCACCTTAAACACCTTCTCCTCCCCGATTTTCTCGAATTCCAGCACGTTCGGCTCCACCGACACCCTAAAACCGAGCGGGTGGCGAATGCGCACGGTATACTTGGCGGGCCGGCCCACATTCTTCACCTTCCGTGCAACCGTGACAGAACCATTCACTTTAGGGACTGTAATTGATGGGTTGTTGAAGTCAAGCACGCTGTAGTCATTCGGGCAGTCATAGTGGGAGGTGGTGAAATGGGCCAGTTTGGTCTCGTTGTACCCGAGCCCACATAGAAAGTCAAGGTAGTCGTTGACCGTCAGGTCGTAGACCAGGCCAGGGTCCTGGGCCCGATTTGGCCTGATGTGGCCCGACCCGTATGCAAAAGGCGTGGCCTTTTCGTGGCTAGAATCGGATAATGGCTTACCGGTGTTGTCACGAGTTCTTGCTGTGAAGTTCGTCACAATCACTTCAATCCAAAGGTACAAAAACTAACAGACACAAATGGAAAAGGCAAAATTGCATATTAATGCACCGCCTTTACCATTTTTGCAATTTAATCACAACATTTACAATTTTGCAAATTAATGCACCACTTTTACTATTTTTGCAAATCGATACATAAATGACGGTTTCGTTAAAAAAATCTAACGAAAATCTGACGTGGCATTGAGCCACGATCTGACATGACATTGACGTGGCTTAATGCCATGTCAGAATTTCGTTAACGGAACCGTCAGTCATGTATCGATTTGCGAAAATAGTAAAACTGGTGTATTAATTTGCAAAATTGTAAAGGTGGTTATTAAATTGCAAAACCATGAAAGGTGATGTATTAATATGCAATTTTGCAAATAGAAAATGCAGAGTTGTGTTTTTACCAGTTGTCATGATGGCGGATCTAATTGCGGCCGGGCTCCAATCGGGATGCAATGTCTTGAGCAGGCCCACAACACCCGAAACATGGGGACACGACATGGAAGTCCCGGACATTACTGTGAAAGGTGTCCTGCGGTGGTCAAAGTCCAACTCTGTCGGGCTTGTTGCCTCGGTATAAGAAGCTATTATGTCGACACCTGGAGCCGTAATATCAGGCTGGATAAAATAAAACCAAAAAAAATTAGTGCAGAGTAGTATTTGTGAATTATTTTTTGAAGAAAAAAAAAAGTGAAAAAAACCTTGAGGATTTCCGGGGTGATGGTATTGGGTCCCCTGGACGAGAAGGCGGCCATAAAAGGTGCCGGTTTCGTATTCAGCAGCGCCTTTGGAGCATTAATAAGACCTTGTGGATACCTGAAAGCACAAATTTTGTCGATGTAAGTAAAGTAATACATATATAACAAAAGTATATGAAAAAACTGATGATATCTGGCTACTCATGAAATCACATACTTGGTGCTATTTAAATAGGCAAAGAGAGTACGGCCATCCTCATAACCGATGTGCGTGGCCGGTAGAAAATGTGGGTCTGACATGATCTCATCTCCGTTAGACTCGTCGTTGCAAAGAATCATCCCGACAGCGCCCGCACGTGCCGCCACCACACCCTTCTCAATTCGTGCGTTTTCTCCTCTCAGGCAAACGGCTATTTTGCCCCTCACCTTTTTCGTGTCCAACGTATCCGGTTTGCAGAGTAGACTGATACATACCGGTTTCCAAATAACAAATAATGTTAGCGTACATACATGTCAATTCAAAAGAAATCAAGGGAAAAAGAATATCCTTACGCATCTGCTTCGGTTGCATTGGCAGCTTTAGCATCGGCCGCTCTAATAAGAGTGTAGAATTTGTTCTCCGGCAACGGTCTCGAAAGGCTTGTACCCTATTACCGGTGCAAACACATCGAATGATAACACACTAGGTTAGGTTGTTCGGGTGTGTTTGTTAACAAAAATACTCAATCCATATTCAAATTCATACTCAAAATCTAACTCAACTTTAACACAACTCCACTATCATTAATATTATCAATATAATTAAATAATAACAATCAATCATTTTTACACATCACATAATTTTAACTAATCATCACTTCATATCATCTTTCTCCTACTTTTACATCAAAATCAACTTTAATTATTTTATTTTTAATAATATAAACTCAAAATCCCACTAACAACTTATCATACCACTTTTTTTTTCCAAATTAACCCTAGTTAACTAAAAAATTCATTCCGAGTGGGATGTATTTGTTTACAAACACACCCTCAATATTATCAACATGGAATTTAAATTTCGAATTACCTTAAGCACTCGGCCATTCCTCAATTCGAGGTCCGCATCAAACTCTCTGTCGATCGTGCTTGCCCCGACAGTTATAATCCACGGGGCCACATTCGACACAGTCCCGGGCCCTGGCCCGTCATTCCCGGCAGATGCCACTACGGAGACGCCTCTCCGCACGGCGTGAAAGGAAGCAATGGCGATGCCGTCGTCGAAATAGTCGTCGGGAGACCCTCCGAGGGAGACCGACAACACGTCGACCCCGTCGTCGATGGCCACGTCGAAAGCCTTGATGATGTCAGCGTCGAAGCACTCGTTGTCATCGATGGGTGGCCAACACACCTTGTACGACGCTGCGCGGGCCCGGGGGGACCCGCCCTTGGAGGTCCCGTTCCCGACGCCAAACACGCTGGCCGACGGGACGAAGCTCCCGGCCGCGGTCGAGAGGGTGTGGGTCCCGTGGCCCGCCAAGTCGCGCGCACTGTGGAACGACGAGTTGAGAGGCTTGCCTATCGAGGCTTGGTAACCCTTGTTGTAGTACCTGGCCCCAATCAGTTTTCTGCACAAAAATATTCATCAACTTCAAATCGATAATAATAATAACTAGAATTTGATCTTGTCCACATGCAAAATAGGAATATTGGCTGTAAAATAGCTATAATACAAAATAGGAATATGGGCTGTAAAATAATTTAATATTGTCTATTCAGAAAATTTAAAATTTTGTAAAGCTGTTACGGAATAAAAAATGAATAATAATAATAATATTTTACTTGTGTAATTGTCATTTGAATGCTACTCATAAAGATTTTTATTAATTGAAGTTCTGTTTTTTTTTATTAATTGCTGGCTGAATAAAATTTATTGAGGCTTGCAAGCAATTATAAATAATAATAATAATAATACTAATAATAATAATAATAATAATAATTGTTTAGTAATGATAATAATAATAACAGTTGCTGTATAAAATCTATTTTTAGTTTCGAAAAGGGTCAAGACGTGTGACTCGTTTAGGAAGAATGTATATAGGCAAACACAACATATGTGGCTGATGAGATAAAAAGAATACTAAGAAACAGAACACGATTCAGAATTCTATTAAAGAGGAAATACTTTTTGGTAGCTTTGCTATTGACCAAAAATTTTCTTTTTCAAGGGAGCCTAATGTTATGCCTTTTGGGCCGGTGAAGTGTAATATAAACCAATTTCTCTTGTTCTTGTTAGTGTGCTACTTTCTAGTCATTAATCATTAGGGAATATTCATAATTTAGAATACAACTTGAATGATAACAATACTAATTAACTTTTCTTGAATTAGTTTTGCAGTATTTGGATGTATCAAGAAATTTCGTGACAGAATAGATTGATATAATTTAGTTATCACAAATCATGACCATCATATAGTTTATATAACAAACTACGAATAGATGTGAAGTACCTATTGCAAAGGTGTCGCTTATTGCCTTCGAACTGACAGATTCCTTTCCACTTGGAAGGAATGGGACCAATCCCATCGTCGCTAAAGCTCTTGGATTCAGGCCAGATACCTAATTGGTAGTTAGTTAGTTAATTGCAATCATAATAAACCATGAAAAGTAACAGCAATTATGGAAAAATGGAAAAAGAATGAAATTTTATTCGATTTGATTTTAATTTTACCAGTGTCAAGTGTTGCAATAATGGTATCTTCACCATATCGAGCTTTCTCCCAAATGGAAGACGGACTAACAAAGCCATCCGTTTCTAGTCGAAGAAAATCCCATGAATGAGTTGTGTGCAATTTTCTACCTTTGCTCTCGAGTACTGATACCACATTTGGATGCTCTACATTTATGTAAGAAAAGTTAATTTAAATCATTATAAAATAAAAATAAAAATACAAACATAAACACAAACACGATTAAATAGATTATATGAATATTAATTTGCTTGTATATACTAGCAATCTCAGCAGCCTCTTCTTCCTCAAGAAGTGCGGCAAAACCATTTATATTCCTCTTGTATGAGTAGAACATGGAATCTCTAGCTTTTTGCTCACTGCATGATACGAATTGGGCAACAAAATCAAACAAAGCACATTAAACTATTATAACATGTAATTTGCGATAATTTTTTCATGAATTTTTTTAAAAATAAAAAAATAAAAAATTACAATACCTTCCCAAGAATGAACTGAGCAACTCCGTGTGTGAATCTTGCACATGCTGGTAATCAGCAGTAGTCACATCTGAACCATGATTATGTGCCCCCAAGTAGACAATATACGACTGATCACATAATAAATAAAAAAATTAATAAATATTTTGTTAAGAAAAGAATGGTATCTATAATTAATTAGGGACGGGAACAATATATGCATGTGCACCTTTTTAATGGCCAAAGTTGGTTTCTGTAACGCAGCAGCAAAAAGGATCAAAAGTGCAAAAAATGTCGAAAACCTGCCAAAAATCATGTTTGCTTTTTACTGCAAATTGAAAAGCAAAAGAGTTGCTATATAGTTTCTATATGCACGAATAGAAAAGGTAATATGTATGGTGAATAAGAAAATGATAGATGATTAAGAAGAGAGTCCAACTAATGGTAAGTTATTCATGATTAAGAGTTCAAATAATGGTAAATTATTCCAGATATAGAACTCCTTAACAAATCACGATATTATTCCATATAGGACTCCTAACAAATCACGATATTATTCCATATAGGACTCCTTAACAAATCACGACTGGAATAAAGTTTCATCTAGTAAATACACTTACCGTTGAATAGTACCGGACGTATCATCTTTGATACTCCTATACATATTTTTCAATTTTCTGGTAAATTGATCATCTATGATGCTCCTATACATATTTTTCAATTTTCTGGTATATTGATCATTTGTTAGATTTTATGTTTGAACAATTAAACAATTAATTTTTAGCTGTAAATAAATAACAAAACTTATATTTTTTTATAATATAAACATATATAATTGTATAGAAAATGAGAGTAAAAATTTTCATGTTTAGTCCGTTACAGTTGTGGCGGCTCTCCTTCTGGTGGTCGGCGGAGCTCTTCTCTCCGTGGGCGCGATGGTAGGTGGTTTTGACTGACCGGCGACCTCAGTCTATGACGAAGCGGCGACGGCTCTCTTTCTGGTGGCCGGAACTTCTTAGCGCTGGCACGGTGGCGGTAGTGGCCGAACAGCAGCCTGAGGCTGACGCACAGCGGCGTCGGTTCTTACCATCCTCGACGGTGACGGGCGTATCTCGGCGGCGTCGCCTCGGTCGGCCAATTCCCGCGGCCTCGTCTCCGGCCGGGGTAAAGCGGCTAAATTGGCCTCCAAATTTTCTAATTCTCTGCACAATACATCATCCATTTCGAATTTTTGGCTCGGATTTGTGAAGGCGAAGGTCGATTCTCTCGAGATTTTGAGCTCACAAGAAAATCGTAGCTTTTTTTTCTTCTTCATTTCTGAATATGCGCGATTTGGGAAGTGCAAGAGACGAGACTCCCTCGTCTCTTCTTTAGACGATTTATTTTTTTTGGCTCGAAATTAGTTGTAATTGGACCTTTTTTTACTTGGACCCGTTCTTTTGTTTTTCCTTAAAATTGAGCCGCTCACATAATTCGATTAGTCCTACAATTTAAATTCCATCAGCCCTTGCCCATGTTCAGTCCAATTTTCAGCCTCTTCTGTGTATACAGGTACTTTAATGAAATTATTTTTTGGGCAATTTGTATTTATACCACACGATTTTAAAAATATTATAAAAATACGAGATGCTAGATTTTAATTACATGGTTATCATTTTTAGTGCTTTTATTTATTGCTCAAGCAAAAATTTCCATTATGTTTTCAATCACCTTCCTACAATCACGCAAAAAATTGATTAAAAGATAGGTAAGTGTATTTAACCAAATAATTAGGAATTTGTTCATATCAAATGGAAAAAGAGATATAATTAGGAATATGTTCACCCTTATTCGAAACTACGGCGTCGCAGGTCTGCAGAAGTGTATATCTTATGTATATTTTATGTATATGTGGGTATTGAATGAGATCCGCAGTTCAGGGATCGAGTGTATATCTTTAATATATTTTATGTATATGTGGGTACTGAAATCGATTTTGAGAAACGATTGAAACTCGAGTGTATAACTAAAGTATATTTTATGTATATGTGTATCCCGATCTGTCGCTGGCTTGAATTACGAGAACCTCGAGTGTATATTTCATGTATATTTTATGTATATGTGTGTTATACACTCTGGTATATACTGTATATACCCGCAACATGTAAATTTTCATATCTGATGGTAACATATAAATCATGTACAAAATTTTCATACCCGAAACATATAAATTCTCTTATCCAAAACAACAAAACAATAATCGACCGAAAAATAAAAAACAAATTTCTCATTTTTCGTGCGCGCCGGATTTGAACTTGAACATCGAGAGGTCACGGTTGGACTCCTTCAGCAAGGTCTCTACGCGGCCCATCTTCTTTTTCTTGGACGATTTCTTGAGAATTGCCGCGGTGGTGGGGTTTGCGTCGGTCGTCTTCATCGACTCGAGCTTTTTGGAGGCTCTTGTCGATAGTGGACTTGAGGGATTTGTAGGATGTCGCCTTACTCCCAGCGAGTCTGCCAATCCATCACTACGCCGACCCCTCTCATCTAAGTCGTTGTTGCCGTCTTAGACCGATCNATGAAAGTGTCGTGATAGGGGGAGAGAGAGAGAGATAGGAAGGTGATAAGTCTACCTTTAATACGCATATTAATTGCATATTTAAATTAATCAATTTTTATAAATTTTGTAATTTTGCAATTAATTTTATAGATCTAGTGATTTTGCAATAAAAAATTATATATATTGTACAGGGTATAATTTCCTCTTGTTTTTTATCAACTGGCTAGTTATGTACTTCAGCCCTACTACGGTCAATACTCCGGCCCAGTTCTTCATCAACCAGCCAACAAACCCCAAGCACCGCATCTCCTAAAAAAATTGGCTAAAATCAACCACTATGTTTGGTAAAACTAGCTGATAGCTGATAAGCTAGCTTATAGCTTATTTATAATTTTTTAGCTTATGACTTATAGCTGAAAATCTAGCTTATATGATAAAAGTGTTTGGTAAAATTAGCTGATAAGCTAGCTGAAATAAAAATTTCAACTAGCTTATTTGAAATGCTACCTAAAGTAGCTTATGAGATAAGCTCGAGCTTTTTTAACTACCAAATGAGACTTATTTGAATACAGGGAGCTTATAAGCTAACCAAATAAGCTATAAGCTAGCTTATTTGGCTTACGAAACATAGTTTAAATTAAGAATGAACTAATAATAATATTAATAATAATAATAATAATAATAATAATAATAATAATAATAATAATAATAATATTAATAAAAAGAAAAGAGAGAAAATATTGGGTTGCTTCCCAACTAGCGTCATTTTTTATTGTCTTGGTTTCGACTTATTATTCCTATGTTCTTTTAAATGGTGTCTCCAAAACATCTCACTCCACATCTTGGGTGGGGTATCCTTCGTAACACGGCTCAAGTTGGTGCTATTGACCTTGAAAATACCTTGGGGCTACTCCACGGCCACATGAGAAAATACCTTGGTGATCACATAAAGCTCAACACATCTTGAACGTAACTTGTTGAGAAATAACTTCAATCAGAGTTAAAAAAGTAGGATCTTTGAAATCAGGTAACTCTCTCTTTTGTATGTTAACATTTTTTTTTTTTCAATTTTTTTGAATATCAGTTATGAAATACCTATATATTTTTTATCCATAATACAATCAATTTTTAATGTAAAGAAAACATTAAAAGGATTGTGGCGAATAAATGTCTTTGCGTCTTTTACAGTCGAGAACCCACGGAGCCGCTCCAGAGGATAGTAAACTGCATATGAGGGTATGCCATCACGATGGTTCGCCTCCCTCTGGTGTAAATCTAGCCAAAAAAAGAGACGAGCGATTACCTGGGTCAAAGCAATAGCTTTCGACGTCCGGAAAAAGGCCAGCCTCGAACAGGTTATCTTCCTCCACGAGTTTTTTCCAATACCGCGAAGCTCGAGGATCCGAGAGCAATCTATCAAGCTGGCTGAAAAGCCGACCTGTTAGCATAAGAAAAGAATAAATGTTAGAGACAAGATGGTACCGAAAAGCAAACACGCCTTTCACGGTCAAGAATTTGGTCGGTACTCTTGGGGTCCCGTAGCTTCACCAATCACAACCATGCCCGTCGTTTTCCAATTGCCGCTGACCGAAAACCTTTCCCTTTGGTAGCCGTTTAATGTGTTAGGAAGTTTGTAGATGAGATCCTTGTGTACCCCTGGTCGGACAGTAGTAGTAGCCGAATTTTTTGGCCTACTCTTTGAACATAAAGATCGCAAGGATGTCATCGCGGGTAGGATCAGGCCATCCCTTCTTTTAAAATAGGACGATCAGACTTATCACCTTTGCCCAGACGACAGGTGAGATCTAGGTAAAGTCGACCCCAATTATGCACACAACCTCTACAAGGAGACCGGGCAGAGTAAACCTCAGGCCCATGGTCATGCTCCTCTTATGCACCCCTATGTAACCCCTGGGTGGGTTATGAATCCTCTCGTAGGGGTACGGTTCAACGATTTGAACATAAGGAGGTATGTTGACCGAAATCCTCAATTCCACGAGCTCAGCTTCCCTAATCACCAAGGCCATGGTGCCTATGGTCAAATAACACTACACGAGCCACACTCGGGAAGGTCGGAGCCAATATCCGTCTAGTGTGTGTACGATGTCCTCTTAGGCCTGGTCAGATTAAAAGTCCCCCTTAACCAGGGGGGCCCGTATATAGCCATAGGTGTCGCCTTGAAGTGTGTTCTCCACCAGCCCATATCAATCTCCTCATCAAAGCCAATTCTGAGCTCCGCGTTGAGGTCCAATCCACTCGCGCGTGCGTACCAGGGATGTTTCATCTTCTTCCACCTCTGCCACCCTTGTTCCCTCTATTGGGCCCCTCTTTACGGCTATCGTCAATGCTCTCGCGGCTGAAGACGGTGAATAAACAACCAACTTATCGGCGCCAAGGATTAAGGCGGTAGTGTCATCCACGGTGAACTCGACACCAATCACCAGACGTGATGAAGTCGACATGCTCAATAATTACAAAGAGAAAGTAAAATGAAGAAAAAATTATCGGGGAGCTGACGAATTTGCGGAAGCTCGAACAACACAATAGCAACGGGTGCGCAACTTTTCCTCAGAGTAAAGGGCTAGGACATCTCCACGAAGGCAAAAAATTGTCCGAAATGGTGAAAACGTCAATTTATCGAGAATGGACACCTGGTCGCGGAACGCGGCATCGTAAAGGAAGCGGGTCTCCTCTGACAAACACTGTCCCAATTCCAGAAATTTGAAATTTGATGGTTCAGATTCAGAAGTCTGAAAGACCCAACAAGCCATCAGGAAAATGCCACTGCGTTAAAAAATTAAAATGGCACATCTTTTATGGGTAATGAAGAGGATCCAAACACGCCTCATTATGAAGCGATGCTCGGATGGCCATCATTAATGCTCAGACTTAGCGCCGATAAAGACGCACGCATTATATCATGACCAACTCGGATATATCATGATGACGACCTCGCAGAAACGTCTCCGCCCTCCCCTCCGAGCTCAGGGCCTTGTGTTGATATCCGAGTTGGGAGACGAGAAGTCTTGAAATTAATCTACACTTAACCAAATGATGGTTCTCGCGAAAAGCCAAATCTAACGCTGAGCCCTCATCCTCTCGACACCATGGGGGAGGGGGGTGTCAGGGTCTGAACAGCGGATTAACGATGTCCACGCCCCAGTATGCCGGAACCCTAGAAATTAATCCAAACAAGCATTTGCCATAGAAGATCCGATTTCAACGTTCTACTGAGGTCGGGGTTCCCAGAGCACTCAGAAGAAAAAAAATAATCTAATATTTCAACTTGTAGCTAATGATGACCGATGGGACGGGCACATCACCGCTGCAAACCTATGTCCTCTACACCTTTAGTCTAGCACGCTAGCTTTAAATTGGTGTGACCCGATGAACACTAGTCGAAGCAACTTATTATAAATAATCTTAGGAATCCACTTTTTGGCATATCTCAATTCGTAATTGTTAGGATATCTCAATTCAAAATCTCAATTTTTTTGCATAAGAATTTTCAATTTGTTACCAATAAAAATAGATTCCTATTGGACTAATATTTAAAACAAATTAAATTTTAATATAAGATTCTCCAAATTTGTTACATAAGAATCTCTAAATTTTTTTAGATATCTCAATTAAATTTACTTTTCACAGATTCACATGTGTTTTTTTCGAACTTCCACTAATAGTAAATCAAATCATTTATTTTTTAGTCAAACTTACTATAAAAATTGATATAGATATAGATATAAATAGATATAAATATAGATTGGAAAATAAATAAGGTCAAAATGAAAATAATAAAATGATTGAAAATCGACCAAAAAAAAATAAAAATAAAAAAAAAATCTCTTTATTTTCTTTCAAGTTCCTAGAACGAGAAATCAACTAATATGAGAATAAAAGAAAAATGAATTTCTCAAAATATAGGACCTGTTATAAAATTCTGCCCTTTAAAATGTCTTACGTCGCATCCCTCAAAAACCCTCTTGCCCTTCCGCTTAAAACCTCATTTTTTCTGGTCGCCTCTTTCATGGTCTCTATCGGCACAGGTGATTTGTGAAGTAATCATGGTGCAAGAAAGCGACCAGAAGAATAAGAAGAAAAATGATAGAAACGAGCAGGCTCACAAGTCTCACAGGATTCGAAAATCCGGCGCTTCAGCCAAGAAAAAATCCAAGTCGAACCCGAATTTGGATGAAGATCTTTCGAAAGAACAGAAAAAGCTTCACAATCCTAAGGTACTGGTTGCTAGTTGCAAAGTGGGTTTCTGTATTCTAGCGTGTGTAAAAATCAGTAACTTTTATATTGGTGAGTGTTTGGAAGTTCAGGTGAACAGAAGGTGGAGTGCACCCAAGTTTGTTTCTGTGGGTGGTTGAATGTTACCACTCTATGTTACTTTCTAGTTTGCAAATTAAAGATGTTTAGTTATGTTCGTGTAGTGGAACAAAGGTAAGGTTAAGACTACCGTAATGGCATGTTAGCTCGTCTTTGTCATACATTGTGGGTTTAGTTAATCAGGTTGTGTTCGATTGAGTGATTAAAGTTCCTTTCATTTATGATCCCTGGGAGGGCGTGATGTGAGTTCTTAGAAACTGCAAAGTGACTACGTTATTTTTTCTCAATTGTTAATTTGTTATTGAACATCTCATTCAGCTTTCTCTACGAGCTTTCGAACTGTATAATCAATTTGAGTTATCAAAAAATATAATATTTCAAATATGTAGTGTCTATGAACTTTTCTTATGGACATTGTGTGAAAAACATGTCGTGTGTGCGTGAAACTTTGGTAATTTATGTGTGTGAAATGTATCTTGTTTGTGTTTTGTGTTTGTGAAATCTGTTCTCTCTCTCTCTCCGCGCGTGTGTGTGTATGCATGTGGAGTTATGTTTGTGTGTGTATTAGAGAAATGAACGAGTATCTCTTTGTGTAAGAAATACAATGATATATTTTCGGGTTTTTGGAAGAATTTCAAATCCTCAAAAAATGAAAAATTTTTGGAAGGATTTCGTTCATATCCACTGTTTTGAGATTGTACCTGACAATGGTGGGTGGATTTGAAATTTATGACGGGTTTTGAATCCTTCCCCCTAATGAGTCTTCATATTTCTTAGTGTATTCGCACCACAGTAGGCTTGATTCTATGATGATTAATTAGTTTGGTGTGAATATATTATCGGCTTGTGTCAGGCATTTGCATTCACTTCATCTGTGAAAGCCAAGCGTCTGCAAGCGATAGCTACAGAGAAGGAGCAGAAAAGGCTCCATGTCCCCACTATTGATCGGACTACAGGAGAACCTGCTCCTTTTGTTGTTGTGGTCCAGGGACCTCCACAGGTTTGTGCTCTTGAATCTGTGACATTTCTTGGTTAGTCTATATGCTGCTTTCCAAGAGTTGATTCTGGAATTTGGAAGATTTGGTTATTTTTAGGTTGGGAAGTCGTTGCTGATTAAGTCTCTAGTAAAGCATTACACGAAGCACAATTTGCCTGAAGTTTGCGGGCCAATTACTATAGTATCAGGTTAGCTCGTGGGCAAGGGTTGTTTCTGTTTTAATTTTGTGTGCATTATTCATGCTAAGCAAATACATCTGTGATCACATGATTCAATAATCTCAACGAGTCAATGTATTCTTGTTTTAAGAGTTTCTCTTCTTTGAGTTGTGTCTACCTGACGTGTTCTATGATCGATTGATTGTTTGTGATTTAGGTAAGCAGAGACGACTTCAATTTGTGGAGTGCCCAAATGATATTAATGGGATGATAGATTGTGCTAAATTTGCTGATCTAGCCCTTCTCCTCATTGACGGAAGCTATGGCTTTGAAATGGTATGCTTCTGGTGCTGTTTTTAATATCCACGGAGCTTTGATATAAGGACGTCATATATTAGATTTTGCAGGCTAATTCAATTTAGGAATTTTTTATAGTGGAGAATAGTGGCGACAAAGTTTTTGAATGAAGGGTTTGAGTGAGTTTGGACTTTGGATATACGATTAGAATGAAATAAAAGTTGGTTTTTTTTATTTTATTGTAAGATAGCTGGTATTTGAGATTAAAGGTGTATTTTTTGAAGAATTTGTGTGATAATGATGGATTATTTGATTGAAAAGATAATGATGATTGATGTGAGTGGTGAGCGAAAGAGTGGATGTTACTGAATGTGTGTATATATATATGTATTTGAAAGTTTTATAAGCAATCTTATTTGGAGCTATGTTCAAATGAAAATGTATTTGTAGGATATTGCAGTCTAAATGTTCTATTGTCAGTTGTCACGCACAAAATACGATAGTATCCTCTTAAAACCACTATTTTTCGGGTAAATGCTTACATGGTATTGTTCATTATTTCCTTTGTTTTACTACTTTGCTCTTAATTATCAATGCTGTGCAAATTTCGAAAACACCCTGTTTAAATGTTTAAAGTTCCACCTGAGAAATTTTTGTCAATCCATTGATCTAACTTTGTTCGCAGGAAACCTTCGAGTTCCTTAACATATTGCAAAATCATGGTTTCCCTAGAGTAATGGGCGTCCTTACACATTTGGACAAATTCAAGGATGCAAAGAAACTTAAGAAAACAAAACAGCGTCTCAAGCACCGTTTCTGGACTGAGATCTATGCCGGTGCAAAGTTATTTTATTTATCTGGCCTTATTCATGGAAAGTAAGTGCAAGAGCACTCTCATATTATATTAGTTTTACATAGTTACTTATTGATGGATGCAATCTTGCACTTTTCTAATTGCTTGTTGCTGGCAGGTATACCAAACGTGAAGTACATAACCTGGCAAGGTTTATTTCTGTCATGAGATTCCCTCCTTTATCTTGGAGACTTTCACATCCTTACATCTTAGTAGATCGGTTTGAAGATGTTACTCCCCCAGAGAAAGTTCAAACGAACAATAAATGTGATAGAACTGCTATCTTGTATGGTTATTTGCGTGGCTGTAATATGAAGAAGGGAACAAAGGTACATAGTTTGTATTCAGTTTATTGCACATTGATGATGTTACCTTTTACTGCTGACCCATGTCTGCTGGTTAGTTCAAATCTAAAAGTACAAATTGTATGTTTTGCTCTTATTCATGAAATCTCAAGTACAAACGTGATAGTTTGTGACCATTACTACTGTTTAATTTCTAACAGGTTTATTTTAAGTTATTAGTTTTAGTTTTAGGCTTGGATTGTGTGGATTAGGATTTTTATGGAGCTTGTCTTCTTCATCGATGCGTTCTATCGTTTCTTATCTATCACACCTGAATAGCTTAACTTGATTTATGTGTTTAGTCAGGTGTTTGTAGTTGAATGATTCTCTTGTTTTTGCCCAGTCATCAGTGATGCATATATCTGTTAATGTGTGTAAATATTATAAGTTTAAATTTGTGTAACTCTCTTCCGAGCGATTTTCTTTTCTTTTTTCATTGTCTTGTTTTCCCAACCCCACCAACAACTGGCTTCAGTTCTGCTATTTTTTCGCGTGTTCCTAGTTTTTCCCTGTTTTGGCAGCTTGTTTATCCAATTTCTGTAATTTTCTTATAGACAGATTGCGGTTGCAGATTTTAAGTCTTATTATATGGTCTGATTTGAATAACCTTGCTTTGAGCAGGCACATATTGCTGGAGTGGGTGATTTTTCTTTGACTGGAATTACAGCTCTGCCTGATCCTTGCCCTCTACCGTCAGCTGCCAAAAAGAAGGGTCTGCGAGATAAGGAAAAGCTGTTCTATGCACCTATGTCAGGGTTGGGGGATCTCCTTTATGATAAGGATGCTGTCTATATAAATATAAATGACCATTTTGTGCAGTTTTCTAAAGATGGAGCCAATACTGATGGAACATCCAAAGGTTATATCTTACTTTCGTTTTTTAAACTCTTTGGAATTCTTCTTTGTCATTTATTCTCGTATGCTCTCCTTGCCGTTGTTTCCTTTTAACTTCTCTTCCTAACTGTGTGGTTTTCAATGACAGGACAACAGCGTGATGTTGGTATTGAATTGGTCAAGTCATTACAGAACACGAAGTATTCTGTTGACGAGAAGTTGGAACAGAGTTTCATATCGTTATTTGGGAAGAGACCTGAGTCGTCGTCTCAAGCTCAAACTCGTTCAGTTGCTGCTGCTCATGAAGAGGCTGAGCGGGGTGAACCTTTGGAGCCCATAGAGCAGTATCAATATGAGATGAAAGATGACGATGATGAATCAAATGAAGACAGTTCTGATGAGGAAGATTTCCATTCAGCAGAACAAACTCGGAAGGACCAAAACAACTATAAGGAACAGATTGATATCCATGAAGGAAGGGTGAGGAGGAAAACTGTTTTCGAAAACGAAATAGATGTTGATAATTCTGAGGTAATTTTTTCACATTTTCATCTGCTTTTTAGTGCACAGCTAAGTTTGAGTGGAGCTTGATTAGGTTGTATGCTGTTTACTCGAAATTAACTAGCATTAACTATCTTAGGTTACGGAGAATCTAATGTCTAAGAACATTGCTTTGAAATTTTTATTAAGGTCGTGCTTGATCTGATAGAGTTTCACAGTTTATTTTTCTTAAAACCTGACAAATACTCTGTTTCTCAAAAATGTTGTAGTTTAAAATATCATAATTACAAATTAACGCATTGGCTCATAGACCTTTATATCAAGTCTTCTCAATCTACTGATTAGATATTTTCTCTTCCTATTATTCTCTCTCCCTCTTCCTCTCTTCCTTTTACAATAATGATCTCTGTATTCTCCAGCTCCGGAACCGTGACCCACCCTTCTTTCTCCAACGTGTACTTTTTTTTTCTGTCTCTTCCATCTTATGATAAATATCAGTAAAATTTATTTAGAACAACAATTAATCTACAAAAATATATATAACAAAGACATGTAATCTAGAATGGAGGGAGTATAGACATCATTATAGAATCTATGTTTTTTAATTGTGGTAAAAGTGGAAGTAACGCTTTTCCAAGAGCAAGATTTTTTCTGAGCTTTACAACTTGTGCACTTGGAAATTTTGTAGCCTTCTTCAAGAAAATGTGGTTTCCATGGAAGATTATGATCGATAAATTTGTTTAAGCTGCAGAGTAATTTCGTCTCAAGGCTTCTAATCAATAAAGTCAAACCTAAAATTTGAAAGCTAATGAACACCTTGAAATCACATATGCGAGATTCCCAGTAACTAAATTTTTGTGAGTTAAAGTTTTCCTGGACTGGCATTCTGCTATGACTAATTTTTCATTTTTGCTGCGGTTTGTTGTATTTATGCCCTTTCTTTTCTTCCATTTTCTTCTTTCCTAATGTGGTTCTAACTAAATAAACTAATGCGCTGTAAGCTCTAATAAAAAGTTGCGTTGGATTTTGATCCACTATGTGGTTCAAACCTTGTGCAGGGTTCAGATGAAGATCAAGGCAGTGATTCAGATGAAGATCAGGGCAGTGATTCAGATGAAGATGAAGAGGATAATGGTGTGTTCATTTGTGATTTCAGAGGACTGTCTATTTCATCTTCTCTTTCAGATTCTGTTTTCATATTCTCTTTGATGTGCTAATATCCTATGCAAGTAGCTTGAAAATTTCTCATTGTTTGATTGTTGCTCTTGCAGAAGATGGGAGGATGGGAAATATTTCCAAATGGAAGGAATCCTTGAATGAAATAACTGCCTCGAGACAGAACATGAACCTTATGCAACTTGTGTATGGGAAACCTGAATCAAAGTCTTCTAACCAGGTTGAAGACACTGGTGAAGAGGAAAGCGAGGATGATGAGTTCTTTAAGCCTAAAGGGGAAGGAAACAAGGTTTGCCTTTGCTATTCTGACTGCTGACTTTTCTGCTGTTAAATACTCTTTTACGGGTGTGTTTGGTGAGCCCAACGAAAAGAGCTCTAATATGCAAAAATAATCTCCTTAAGAGCATAAGGGTGCAACTGGATACAAGAAAATGAATATTTTCATTCTCCAACCAAAATATACTCTATACATTCATCTCATTTTTTATCTCCTCAATTTTCCCAATACAACTTTTTAATTTAAAAATCAATCATTACCACAAATTACTTTATAAATTTTTACTTTTGATATACCCACACATATATAACTCCTCAGTCATTATTTTACAATTTACCTTTCACATCACAATCACATCAGTTTATATTATTAAAATTATTATTTCTTCCATTAACTCTTCTTTCTCCAACAAAAAGTTTTTTCGCATTTGAAAATTTATCCAATTGCACCCTACAAGCTCCTAAAAGACATACACAACCAACCCAACTTATTTGTAAGATCATATGAGTATCATATCTTTGTAACCAAACACTTCAAAAACTTATTTTTAGGATAAGATATAACAACTCATCAGCTCTCAAAATATCTTACAAGATATAGAAGCTAATAAGATCTTTTAATAAGCTTAGCAAACACTGTAGTACACTGAATCCAGCCATACTCTATTGTCATTTGGAGTTGTTGATGTGGTTGGTATAGTTGGGTTTATAACTGTTTTTTCATTTGGTTGGGCGCAGAAATCAAAGGAAGATATAAACAGCTATGACGTTGACACAGATGACTGCTCGAAATTTACAAGCACCGCGAGTCTGAGGGATTGGAGGAATGAAAATTTAATTGCAAGCATACGTGATCGCTTTGTCACTGGAGATTGGTCAAAGGCATCCTTGAGAAATTGCCTCTCTGAAGGTACCCCTGGTGACATTGATGATGGCGATGATGATGCAGTCTTCGGTGAATTCGAAGACTTGGAAACGGGTCAGAAGTATGAAAGCCAGCATGATGATGCTAGCAAGGCGGATGATTTGGCTGCTGAGGAGAGACGACTGAAAAAACTTGCTCTTCGTGCCAAATTTGATGCTCAATATCCTTTCTCTTACAGTCTATTGTGCTACAGATAGTTCTTTCATACTCTCTCTTGACACTAATCACGTGTCCTAACTTGGGATTTGGGCTGCTGAAAGTTTGAAACCAAGTAGCAGTTTTCTGGATTTGGTGTGGGCTAGCTCGATCCTAGCACAGTAACTTGCTTTGCTGGAGGCTTGCTTTCGATTTTTGTTTTTCTTTTTCTTTACGAATGCCCATTTCTTTTTTTTCTCCAGTTTTATGAGTGAAAATTACACCTTTCATCTGTCCTTTTTTAGTGAAATGAGTGCCTGATCTAGAAATGCCTAATGGGCTTTAGTGTCTGGCTTATTAGATTGGCATACCTTACATTTCAATAAATATGTTGAACATTTGTGTCCTTAATTCTAGTTTACATATGATGAATCAGAGTTCCCTGATGAAGGTGAAGGTGGTGATAATGATGCCAAGACTACTGGTGGTCAGAGCAGTGGAGGTGGATTCGTTGATAAAGTAATCTATCTGCTACTTACCTATTTGAACCTTTCGAGATCCTGGAAGACCTTTACTTATTATCTCGTTCTGTGCAGTTGAAGGAGGAAATTGAACTTCGGAAACAAGTAAACATTGCGGAACTTAATGAACTCGATGAAGCTACTCGTATTGAAATAGAAGGTTACAGAACTGGGACGTATCTTAGAATTGAAGTTCGTGATGTGCCCTATGAAATGGTTGAAAATTTTGACCCTTGTCATCCAATTCTGCTTGGTGGACTTGCTTTGGGAGAGGAAAATGTTGGATATATGCAGGTATAGAACTTTCTGAAACTTTTTTTTTTCTTTTAAATTTTCATGCTGGTTTTTTCTCACGCTAAATGTTTGTTTGTTCGTTCTTATTCCTGAAGGCACGATTGAAGCGCCATAGATGGCACAAGAAAGTATTGAAGACTAGAGACCCTATAATCGTGTCTGTTGGATGGAGACGTTATCAGACTGTACCAATATATGCCATTGAGGATCGCAATGGCCGACATCGTATGCTAAAATACACACCTGAGCATATGCATTGTCTTGCTATGTTTTGGGGTCCACTTGCTCCCCCTCATACTGGGGTGGTCGCTGTTCAGAATCTATCAAATAATCAGGTAAGTTTGTATTCTTCTATTAAGTTGAGAGCTCTCAAGTTCTAGTTATTCTGCATAAGGAGTATCCAAAGGAGATCACATATTGTGCTCTCAACAATTGAAGGATGAGAAACTAAAGAGCTATGGAGTAAATTTCTTCACATTTTCAATTCTTGTATGTCAAGTAAATAAAAATAAAATTAGCTCAGGGCGTGTGTGTTGCCAAATCAAAGGACTTATGTGTAATCCTGTCTCTACAATCTAAAAATGGGAGATTATGGAATCAGTAATATAAAGTTCATGCACATTTTCATTCTGTCTGCCGTGTTTCAATCACATTGAGACAGCGCTCGTTGAACTAGGTTGTTTTGGGATAAATGTATAATCCAAATGATAACTGTTTCATAAAATATACCGAAAAATTATGTGGGCCAGGAGTTTTTTTTTGGAGTGAACCTTATTGCCGATTTCGATCTTTTACAAGACACGTTGACCTGCGTTTTTGCATCGAAAGAAATGGAGTCAGGCCACCAACTATTTATTTGACCATCAAGTGTGTGATTCTTTGTTTTTAGTTGACAGTTTCAGTTTGTGATGTTAGCCATGTCCAACTTCTATTGCAGGCTTCATTTAGGATTACAGCTACCGCTACAATCCTGGAGTTCAACCATGCTGCAAAAATAATGAAGAAGATTAAACTAGTTGGACATGCCTGTAAAATCTTCAAGAAGACTGCTTTTATTGAAGACATGTTCACTTCAGATCTTGAAGTAGCCAGGTTCGAAGGCGCAGCCATACGAACAGTTAGTGGAATACGTGGGCAAGTGAAGAAGGTATCTTTTGTATGCCGAATGCTACATAATAAATCAACTCTATCCTTTTGTAGTTGAAGTTTATAACTACTAATCTTTTTATTTTCTTTGTTTTTCACAAGCATGTGTTGTTCTGGATGTGGTACTTTTATATTATTATTAATATTACCTCAATAATTTGCATAATGGGATCAAATATTTTGGTCAAACTTGGTTCCTTTATTTTACTTGTGTGTCAAATCTGTTAAGTAGTTGACATTCTGGAGAAAAAATGACTTGAATTCAGTGGACAGAGGTTAATGAGGAAAAGATGCAAAAAAAGGAAAATTACTACCCCACTCTGTTATAACTATATATATAAAAAAAGAATGAACATTCATAGACTACAGCTGGAGCTTTCTGTTGGCTCTTGTTGTATTATATTCTGTTCAAGGAAACTCTGACTTCTAGCTTATACCTACATGGACTTTTTACCTCATCGTTTGCTATTTCACTTATTAGGCTGCAAAGGAAGAGATTGCTAACAAGTTTAAGAAGAAAGGCGGACATGCTAAAGAAGGCATTGCTAGATGCACCTTCGAGGATAAAATTAAAATGGGAGACATCGTTTTTTTACGAGCCTGGTCCCAGGTTGAAGTTCCTCAGTTTTACAATCCTCTGACAACTGCCTTGCAGCCCCGTGATAAGACTTGGCAGGGAATGAAAACAGTTGCCGAACTAAGGAAGGAACAAAACCTTCCAGTGCCAGTCAACAAGGATTCTCTTTACAGAGTAAGTATGAGCTTTTACTGAAGTTAGAAATAGAGTCAATAGACATAAAAAAATTATGAACAAATTTGGTTTCATTTGTTTGTTTTCATTCATATCATTTGTTTGTTTCCTATTTCCTTTTGTTTGTTTGTTTGCTTCAATTGTTGGTTTCATTTGTTTCTCGTCTGTTTTACAGCCTATTGAAAGGAAGCCGAGGAAGTTCAATCCTATAGTTATCCCGAAGTCTCTGCAGGAGGCTCTGCCATTTGCATCGAAACCCAAGGACATACCTTCTAGAAAACGGCCGTCGCTTGAAAGTAAGAGAGCTGTGGTCATGGAGCCACATGACCGGAAAGTGCATGCTATGGTTCAACATCTTCAACTTATTAGAAATGAAAAGGTAATTTACCCGAGAACCAGAAAAATAAAATCTGAAAGAACATTCTTAGATGGCTGTTCTGACAAAATACATATATTTGCTACCTTTTATGTTGTTGAATGGTAATAGTTGTCCGCGCCGTTCTTTTTCCTTTGTTTTTTTCCGTTTAAACACTTTGGGTTTCTGATAAGCTTGTTGCTGGTGCAATTAAGTTACACTAAAAAACTTGGTAATTGAAAAAGGATAAAATTACTTGCTTCACTTTTTCAGTTTGCAGATTCCAATATCTGTGTCATAATTGAAGTGTAATTGAAAAGATTGAAATATCTGACACATGTAATGCCATTTCTGTAGATGAAAAAGCGAAAACTCAAGGAAGCTGCAAAGAGGAAGGCACAAGAAGCGGAACGTGCAAAGGAGGAGCAAATTTTGAAAAAGCGGCAGAGAGATGAAAGGCGGGGAAGATACATTCAAGAGGAAAAACTGAAGAAGAAAATGCGTCGAAATTAACTGCAGAGTGGACAGCTTGTTGTGCCTCAGGCTCCATGTGATATTTGCTTGGGATAATATCATAATTGTAAGTCTCCTGCATCATATGCCATTGAGTGGATTTAATGCCACCAAGGGAAGAACACGCCTCAAAAAAAACTTAACACTTTTTCCTCATGAGTGAAATACTTACGGATAATGAGATGCATACAGTAAGTTTGTAGTTGTGGTATCTTGGAAAAGTAGTTCTTTCTTTGTTCCTCAGAAATCTACACACTATAAATTTTGATTTTATTATTTTTTTATTTTGGGGAAAGTGTGTCTATCTGGTTTCAGTTACATTTGGGTTTTTATTAGTTTATATGTTCTGTCAAGGTCAGTAAGAAAGCAAGGGAAATAAACATTTCATACGTTGTATCAGTAAAGAATGCTAGTATGGTACGCAACACGACCGGATGAAAGCTACAGTTACTATGAATACATTTGTATTAGATGTAAAAGGGGGTTGAAAAAAATGCAACTCATGTAATAAAGATTCTCGCAACAAATAAACTGAATATTTGACCGAGTAAAAATAATGTTGGCTGACCTGGATCACTATTATTTTCGGAGAAATTATTGGAGGACTTAACTTTTAGTAATTATATTCATCTAAGGCCTAAATTTTGTACTTTTTCAACAGAAGACTTATATTGTAGGTTATTCTCACTTTAAGGTTTACATTTTAGTTCTCATTTTACATTATAAGCCCAACTAACTTTACCTTTTCATATAAATATGTAAAACAACTATTATGTGAATAAAAGTATTGTTATATTATTATTTTGTAATTTATATTTGGCATACTTATAATAAAAAATAATAAATATCTTTAGTAAAATTATATTAATAAAAATTTAATTTTAACTTTTCTTTTTGGAGGCAAGAGTTGATACTATGTCATTGCTTGTTGAAAATGATATGTTTTTGTAGATTGCATTTATATATTATTTTTTAGTTTTATTACATGTTTATATTATTAATAAAAATGATATTTTCATTGCATATTTTTTAATTCACTCATCATTTTTTTTAAATTACTCATAATTAAACTTTTGCATAAATATAATTTATATAGTTTCGCTTTATTATTAAGTGAATATTACTAAAGATATTTATTATAAGTATGTAATATATAAACTAAATAAAAAATTATTTTTGTTCGCATAAGTATATTATAAAATAAAGTTAATTGGTTCACATATTTATATCAAAATATAATAAAGTTAATTGGGCCTTACAATGGAAAGTTAATTAAAAAAGTGAGCCTTAAATTGAGAATAACCTAAAATATAGGTCTTCTATTGAAAAAGAATAAAATTCAAGCCTTAAATCGATACAATATCAAAAAGTTGAGTCTTCTAATGGAATTTCCCCTATTATTTCCATCATATCTCACATTGTTTCGTATCTCTTTTCTGTTCAATTTCTCCACCACCATCATCCGAATTTTTTATCCAAAAAAAA